CATGTTTGTGAGTACTGTTTACAAGTTGAGACCAGATATGCAGCAGATGGTAAAACTGATAGCATTGGATAAGGATACAATAGTAATGGATAGGAATAATAATACTGACATGAGCCTTAATTTTTGATTAAGATACCAAGTCAACATAGCTAATAGTGTCCATTTTTTATGATATCAAGTTCCTTGGCATGTTTGTAATGCACTTGCACAATAATGAAAGAGCATCTCTGTGGCTAAGACATATAGATGGACAGTAATACAAAGCTCTTGTGATTAACCATACTTTACAAGTAAAGTTTACATTTATAAATGAAAATTTGCACTAAACTTCACAGACATGAAGGATCAGTGCAATTTGTAACTTTAAAAGAAAAATGAAACTAGAATCATTCTAGTTTAATTTTATCATAAACACATTCTTAAGCTTAGCTTTACTCTATTTTAAACCATGCTATTGTGAAAAAAGGTTTACAGAAATTCATTTCATTTGTCAGTTAATTTGGTAATTTATTAATACAGGTACAGTGTAGCACAGTCTTCATCAAAGTTGATGAAGTATATAGTAAACTCCAGAAGCTGAAATGACAGTTTTGACAACTTCATTCAAATTGAAAAAACTGTAAACAAAGTGGTCCACATTATAACTGTTGGCAATTTCTTTGCAGTTAATTTGCAAAGCACAAGTCATTTATTGAATCATTACTTTAAACAAATGCCTTTAGCAATACTAAACAGCCTTCCAGGTAGATGTACACTGACCTCTTTCTTGAGTCGCCGTATCATAACATGTGTCTTCAGAAGGTGGTAAAGTTCATCAAGGTTTGATGCACCACTGTAGAAGGTGAAGTTAAACACCAGTGTTACAGAGCTCTGTACATGTAGTTATTAAATTATTAAAATTCATTATTCCAAAATAACTGTGCAACAATTCTGCTTAAGCCCCAGCCAAATGATCACAACATTTCAACGTAACATATTGCAACATTGTTGGGTGCAGCATGTTGCATGCGTTTGGTCACGCGGTTGTGATGTGTTGCGACCTGTTGGGTGTTGTTGGCTCAAATTTGAAACTGGTCAAATTTTTCATCCAACATTTGTGGAAGTTGCATGATGTTATAGTCGTTTGATCAGGTTCATGCAATTGTTGCACCTGAGCATTCGCACTAGTTCGATTTTCAATACCCAACATGTTGCAAAACATCACAAAATGCCCGCCAAATGTGCGCAACATGTTGTGCCCAACAATGTTGCGATATGTTGTGCTGAAATGTTGTGATCGTTTGGCCAGGGCTTGCAAATGCTGATCATTTGGCCAGGGCTTTACATGTCAACTTATTGTTTAACTTATTATTGTGTAGTTCCAGAAAATACCTATACCTCTCCCACAGAAAGGACTTTTTCTAAGACCACCCACCTCTCTGGAAGTTCCAGTTATTGTAAGCTTCCTACATTTCTTCAATTTGTATGGTCCTATGGAATCAAACCCCCTAGGTAAGTAGTATCTATGGATATTTTCTGGAACCACACATTTACATTAATAATTACTGTATATCATTAGGCAGGTGGATGAATTAATCTCCTTCACTCAAGAAGTTATCATACTTGACTTCACATTACATCAAAATACCTTGTGTCAAAACGATGCTCTCCTCTGTAACAAACTTCGTGGGCATCACAGTAACGTTTAACAAACTTATTGAAGGACCCAAACTTGCCTGGACAAACAATGTCAAGCTGGAAATATAGCTAGAAAAAAACCATGGCAAGATATTGCATCTAAGTAGAATTTATTGCATAGTGGCTTGTAGGAAATGTAATCCCTCCCCTTTTATAGCTTTATGGGGAGGTGCAGTGGCCTCATGGTTAATGTGCTAGCTCACCTATGGATCAAGCGATCCGGGTTCGAGCCCCTGGCTAAGGACATTGTGTAATGTTCTCTTGGGCAAGACTCTTTACTCTCACAGTGCCTTTCTCCACTCAGGTGTATAAATAGGTAACAGCAAATTCAATGATGGGGGTAACCCTGTGATGGGCAAGCATCCCATCCACAGGGGGGTAGAAATACTCCCAGTTGGTTCATGCTTCAGTGACAGAAACCAGATATCAGCGCTGGCCTGATGGACCACTTGGCCCATATGTAGACTTTACCTTTTACCTTTGATAGCTTTATGGCAGGGCAAAATCAACAAACCTCCCTTGGTCTTGCGAGTGATGGTGTTCCACTCAGTAAAATGGCGTGCTTGGCCTTCTTGCAAAGTTGATGGAGT